CTGTGTAATGGATCCTTTGAGGGCCTTTAAGGGGCGGATTGTTGTTGTGGTATTTTTGGTATCTTTTGACCGCTAACTATATAGAGTTATTATCTGCAGAGAGAAACTCCAGGTAGTTAGCCCAGCGGAGTTGTGAATAATAATTAGTGCGAGACTTGACTGCGTCCCACAGCCTATTGAAGATGATTTTGTCCTGTCTGGATTTGGTTCTCTGGCAGCATTGCGTTTTTTGATGAGCTGGGTAAGTTCCTTGGATCTGAAAAATTTAGGCTGTTTCACTTCTCTCTTAGCATTTTTGTAAGTATTTTGCACTGAACAGGTAAACTCCTTGATTAAACTATCAATGTCATTGCCTGAGGGTATCGTTGGGATAGTGTACTGGATGTTGTTTAGAGCTTTGGCATAATACTACCAATCAGTTTTAAAGACTCTTTTGACTGGTGTAGTATAACTACTGATATCCAATACCAAACGGACCGGATTGTGATCGGAAGATAATTCGTCCAACACAGAAAATCTAGCGGAACACTGGTGTTTCTGAGGAGGAAGAGGTCTAAGATACCGGCGAATCTAGTAGTATACCGTGTTGGGGTAGTTGGAGCTGCTATCTGGTAAGGAACCCTGGGGGCCAAATTGAATATAACATTGCCAGTTGTGTTAGAATTATAGCAGTTCCACGCGCGATGTCTAGCGTTCAGGTCTCCACCTATGATTATGTGTGTGCCAAGTGTGAGTAATGTGTTGAGATCAGCCTCAACAGCTGTACGGAGTTTTGATGGTGGTATGTAAGTGGAGACAAACGTGTATGTTGTGCTTGTTGTGATAGAAATAGCTGTAGCTTCAATGGCGGAAAGCTGTGGAATTGTTATTTGATAGTGAGGAATGCAGCGTTTAACAAGGAGAGCTGTGCCACCTCCTTTCCTCCTGTTAGCAGTTATATCTCTGTTAGATCTGTATACACAGTAATTTGCAACATAAATTGGGTTTGAATGGCCAAGTCTGTGTTCCTGTAGGGAAGAATAGATATGGGCTGTGCTCATTTATAAAATCTCGCAATTCATTAATCTTACGAGATAAACCGTTTTCGTTCCATGTAATGATGTTAATAGAATTGTTTACAATACTATACATTAACATCACATTTAGAACCAAAAATATTTTCGAATATTTCAAACAAAATAAACATCTTATCAATAGTGTGCTCTGCAGCTTGAAGCTCAGGCATCTTATCTGTAATTTTTCTAATAATATTGGCAAATGAAAAACCTTAAAAAATGTCCGCAAGTTCCTTAATAAATTTAAACATATCAGTAAAAACCTTCTGACCTACCTCAGTAGGTTTTCCCGTGCTTACTACTACTACTAATAGTTGCATTTCTAACTCTATAATCTGACAATTTATTGTTTGCATTAGCAGACTTCCCACTAATTGCATTAGTTAAAGCTTGGTATTACATTACTTCTATTAACATAATTTCCTTCATTTGACACATTAACTTTGCTTATTTCATTACTTTGTGCTATTTTGATGTTCCTAGCAGGGGGAAACTTTGGACAATCATGGTAATTGGCCATGTGCAATGGTTGTTTACAGTTACAGCACATGACATTATCTATACGTTTGGCTTTACAATTTTCAGTTTTGTACGGCCCCGCGCACTTGACACATCGAGGCTTTAGTTTACAGTTAGCTGATGAATGGCGGAAGTGTTGGCAGTTATGACGCTGCACAACACTTCCAACAGAATTATAAGGAGTAACAGAAACATAAAAACACATGAAATAAGTTACATTTTGAATTTCCTTCGCCCCTGGTACGTTCTCCAACTGTACTTAAAATAGCGGCATCGGAACCTTTGTTTTTAAGCTACGCATTTGCGAAACTTTGCGTACCTTATAACCAACAGCAACTAGATCTTCATGTATTTCGTTCTTGGGACAATCTAGGGAAAGGCCCCTGAAAACAACTTTAATGGGTTTATCTACTTTACTGATTATCAAATAGTGATCAATTTGTTTATCTTCCAGGTACCTTGTAATTACCATATGGTCACTTTCAGTTTTCGGAAAACTTTCAAGAATTCGCCATTAATTTTGGCTGCAAATTCTAGTTTTTAAGTCGTTTTTTTAAATTCTTAACAAAATTAGAAAATTTTCTGCCGGTTTTACCATAATAGGTTTAACTTTTGAGGGCTCAATTTCAGTAATCCCAGGCTCTACCTGATCCATATTATCGTTACTATTATCATTTGCATTCAAGCCACTGAACTTATTGCTAACTGGGATTTCCACATTACATTTAATCAATTTTGCTGGCCTGGCTGGATTTTTCGGCAAAACAAAGCCATCAGAATCAGTATTTCAGTAGCTGACCTCTTATTCTTTTTAGATGGCCGCTTGGGCTTAGCATTGATAATATTTACATTATCATTAACGTTAGATTCAGAATTGCTAACAATTACTTCAGAACAATTTTCTACATTGACATCAACATTCTTACAAGCATTAGATTTAACATTTTTAAGTTTACCAGCCATATTTGAGTAATATCAGTAATACTTAAATTAACACAGTCAGGATTATGTACACCAAAAAACTCACACTTACCATTATTATATATATTTAATAGCCTCTGGGCGAATCCGCGTTCCCTGGTATACAAGTTTCGAAGAAACTGAATATGCTGTTCAGCACCTTCAGAGTTGCTCATTGTTTCCAAGTCCGTATCGATCAACGTAATCCTACTTTTGAACTTTTTCAATGTTCTGTAACACACACAAGTAGTCTTCTAATATTAAAGTTTCCGCATTTATTAATGCACGCACCCCAATTATCTCCTAGATATTTATCTCCGAAACGATGCATTTCATCCGTTAACTCTAGCACGTGGTTCATAACCACAGATGCATCCATTTTAGCCATAGGGAGTTCGTTCCCCACCATAGCACGTGGTCACTAATCCTTGGCAAAATATCACTATTTACTGCACACAAAAGTCACACAGTTTAGAAGTAATCCACATACGCCTAAATCCAATACGATGAAGGAACAGTATAGAATCACCCGTGAGCAACAATAAATGAAGCACGTGGAAGAAACAGTAGAACAAAAACCTCTCCTCTTTAAGCTGTGTGCAAAACTACGCTAGGATCAACATATTTGTGAATAAAATATGGCACTTAACGAAACTAATTCTTGATAATACTTCTACAGAAGCTCATTTTTAGGAAATGCTGCGATTGACTTTATCGTTTCGACTTTTATTGAATCTGATTGGCCTTTAATGTTATTTTATTAGGGAAAACCAATAACATATAACACAATTCATTTAACTGCATCAATAATTTTAATTAGTGTCAAAGATAGCAAACAGACACTCTATGTATTCATTTTCATTACCATACATTCAACCTGTGCTATACTTTATTATGTAACAAAAGCTACATTTTATTTACTTACAAAAATTTATTTGTTGCGGTGTTATTTTAGTCCATTCATCAAGGCAACTGTATGAAAATTCGAAAAATAAAATTGTTAAACACTTATTTAGATATAACAAATATAAACAAAAGCATAAACGTAGATATTACAATGAAAATTGTTTCTTTACAATGCTTTGTTTAAATGCAAATTAATTTAAGATAGCTCGTTCCATTTCTTAAGCTGTTTCAGAAGTATAATCTACAAAAATCCAGCGATGAGGTAATAAATCAAATTTCAGTCCTAAATTTAAGTAATTATAATAATTTTGTATACTGTTCTTAAGTACGGTGGTTTTATGTACATAAAGTAATAAATAACCACTGTGAAAAATTTATCAAAACTATGTCGGAAGTGCCAAAATATCTATGGAAGGAATTTCTTTCTCCCCTCCCTAGAATAAATATACCTTTTAAAAATTTTATGTGGTTTTCTTTCTACCCTTTCTATCCTTGAATCCATGTGATACTTGAGAAAACTTGAAGCATTTTATTAAATTCGCTAGAAGGATTGAATTGTTAAGCTGTAAAGATAATGCCGCATTATACTTAAAAACATAAGGTGGCAAGATTGTAAACATCTTATCTTTGAACATTTATATTGAATTAGATGGAACATATCGCCGAGATTCATCATTTACAACTGATAATTAAATGCTTGAGAGTGTGATTTCAAGTTTTTATCTTCTAATGATTATGGCACATATAGTTAGAGCTTAACATATTCTCATTTGCATGCAACTGAATGTAGATCAGTAATAAACGAATAGAAAAGCAGTGAATGCCATCTTTACGGTAATATTCCTGGATTTAACTATCCAGGCCACTAAGAAATATTCTGACATCTTCAGAATAATAGCTTCTTGAAAGGAAGTTCAAAATGCAAGACATATGAAGCTTTGCTTTAAAGGCAAAGGCAATAAATAAAGTCTTATTAAATACCCGCCCTGCAACTAGTTCTATATAAAGAAAGCTCCAGAGATGGAGACGCCTCTGCGTAAAGAAAATGACCGAAAGCAACCGAGTCGGTCGGAAGTTGTTCGTATTCATGAGATGAAAATTTTCGCATCCTTTGAAACAGTGAAGAGGAGGTGCAGCTGATTATCGAATGTCATTAACATCTTCATGTCCGCTCCAGGCTCTATGCAAATCTCTCTGTCCCTGACAGCTCACGGTGGAAGAAAAAGTCGCTCATCTCGCTCTCGAACTCTTTTACATTTCTATCGCGACGGACAGACAGACAGACGTCGCGAGGAAGAATCGCCTTTTTCTCGGTTCGAGGTGTGGTCTCATCCTGCAATGAAATATTTACAGTGTTATTAGATTAGATGGAAACAAATGGCAAAAATGCACGGTTATGAATCGTAAGGGTACTCGCACGTAGATAAAGACGTCGGAACAGTCATGCAAATTGCCGCGTAACGAGACCCTCGAGAAAAAACGAAATTGTCCTATTAATAACTTAGTAAAAGCAGAGCTCCCTTGGTCAGAGGACTGATTGGATTACTTTGACGTAAATTCCCCAAGTTCCCTCTCCTCTGATTCGGGCCACGATTTCGACACCTCCGAGTCCACTTGAATGAAGCGTACTGCTTTTACAGAAAGGAGGGTAATTATGCTACGATATATGATGAGAAAAAGGAAACGCTTTATGAATAGACTTCTTAGATAACGCTTCAATGAGCCAAGAACATCATCTGTCTCAAAGTATTAGGTAAGTCGAAAATAAGAGCTAAATAACTATGATTTTGATTCGAATTACATGCATCATGTCAGAAGCATTACATTTACGTAAAACGTTTCTTAATTAAAATCTTCAAATCGTAGCTGGATATAAGTTAAGAAATGGTCCATTTAAGGAAAATAATAATACAATGTGTTGCTTATCAGGAAAATATTCGCAAAAGCATGCAACCGGAATAGGAAATAAAACCATGGCAGAAAGCATATATCTCCTATTTTTAACATGTGATGAGGCATTTGAAGGTTTAATATAGCTGTTGCCTCGAATTTGGCATTCCTTTCTTCGATAATGCATCTCCAAACTTAATTTTGTTATTATTGAAATGATTTTAATTTAAAATTGCATTTTTTCTGAATTCAGGACAGGTTGGCTAATTGATTAAGACAAAACACAGGGGTTTGTCAAACAGAACGCAGACCATCGTGGGAAATTTCTATGAGAAACTGACTTATATTTAAGTTATACATGGAAACCCAGATTAAAAGTATAATGAGTTACATAGCTGGGAGATTCAGGCAACTATGAATTAAAAGGCAAACTTTAGTTTTATATCTCAGTCAGAGCTCTCGGTTGAGAAATAAACCTCGAACTATTAAAGAAATTAATTTTCTTAACACTTCGGAAGGACATTAATAAAAACTTTGTGTACAGAACACTCATATGCATCCCTTGGCTTTAACATTCATATGCTCATACGCTGGAATCGTTTCGGACTTTTCGTTTTAACTCAGTGTCTTGATTCGCTCAACTTTACTACAGAGGTCATTTCATATTTATTGTACACCAACCCCTTATTTTTTATATTAATATAAAGGAAAGATATTTAAAAGAGTAAGATTAGTTCAATTTATTATACTGCGTTTTATCATATTTTTAGAAATATGGAAAAGAAAATTTTCACAGCCATTTTACACAAATAGACAATAACTATCATATGTCTTCAAAAGATAACCTGTAATTAAAAAAAAAAAACAGAAAGGGCTTTAATGGGGTCTATTTGAAAAAGGTCTGCTTTCAGTGGTTCTGAATCGATTCTTAGGGAAATATAAAATGTAATTTAAAAAAAAATGGGTTCTTGGAAGCAAGTTTTTGCAGAGCATAGATTTTGCATACAGACTATGACTAACGTTAAAATGGAGAAGACATCCTAATATGGTGACCAAATTTATGAACTTTATTTGTTTGAATTTTTTCTGTTTTATAGTTTTTCATTATGTTTACTGAAACGTTAGGTTTAAAAAGATACAAATTCCACATAAACTGAAAGAGAAGTTAGGCAGAATTCAGTTTAAAAAAAGTTAATCAATATCCTTACTTAACCAAATACATGTGTGCTAAAGTTATGAAACTAACTGGAATTACAAACTCTGCTGTCCCTCGCAGTCACTGCTCTATGAATCAGTCAAGTGACAATAGCTGCAATGTATCACATTTCAAATCGGAAAAATCATGTTTGCTGTTTTCTGAATAGTAAACATGGCTCTTGGAGGAATTAATGCACAGTTAGAAGGTTGTGTAAATGGTTTTGAAATTTAAGTAAGATTTAAAATACGAATAATAAAAAAACCAATGTCTATGAAGAAAGAAATAACTAAACATTTAAGAAAACGAGCAGGATTCTTGTGGTATTTATATATGGTATGCTGTAAATGAAAGTTTTGATAGCAGAAATACTGATTAAATAGCGAGTATATATGCTTTATTTACGTAACAAAAAATATTACTCTAAAGAAAGGCTGAAGAACAGTAAAAATATCTGTTGCTGAGCAAAAAAATGAAAAGTTTCTGCATCAGAAACTCTTATCTGAGGTGCTCAGATTGAACTAAAAGTAAATGGATTTTCTATACGCTCGAGGAATGATAAGATGAGTACCGAATATTGAACTAACAGATAGGATCCCAAGGAAAAAGTTATATCTGATTCTGCATAAGGCTACGGAATTATTATAAAAGCCAAAAGACTATTTAAGTAACTAGAAGACCAGAGAAAGCTAGCTATTTGCAGACTGCTGTACACAGTTCTTCTCTGACAGCCCCAAATGAAATTCTTCTGTAGTTAAAATGCAGCATTTTAAGGTATCTCTTGAGTAATTTGTGTATTTGCTCTCACATGTTCTTACTTTGATTTTTACAATTTCGTTCCTTCACATTATAAAATGTACTTTAGCATTCACATGATTTAACCAATACTTCGCATACTTGTTGTATATTTTCAGTACTCAAAAGATTAGTTTCACGTGCTATAAAAACTTTATACAGTCATTACTAGAGTTATATCGCTGCTGAAACGTGAAAAATGTGCAATGATCTCGCCGGGGGCGAGTTCCATACCTCCTGAATACGCGTCGAGCGTGCTTCCAATTACACCGCGAACGCGAGCGGAATCCCCCTTTTAAAGGGCGACTGAGGATTAAGGGACTCATTCGCCAAATCCAGTAGTAACGAATTATCTTTCACTACCTTTTTAGTTTGGGGGCCACTGTAGAAACAGTGAGATTTTTTTCGATGTCAGGGAACTGAAAAAATCCGCAACTGCTCCCACCAGGATTAGATCTCCGGACTTCCCGAATATGCGTTAAGCGTGCTCCCAGTCACTTCGCGCAGACATCCAGAAATAAGGAAGAAGACACCTTATAACGTATTTGCCTAATTGGATGTTATACACAACAGAGTAAAATATAAAATTAAGCCAAAAAAAAAAAAGGGGGGGAATCATAAAACGCTCTGGATTTTGAATACGAGAATAAACGTAGGGACATCATCATACATTCGCCAAATATTGGTTTCTAGATTTTAGATTTTCCCCATTACTATCTAACAATCAGAATAATCTAATTAAGTTTAAATAGAAGATTTAACAAATATTTTTTCTGTTGCTAATTCGCCTGATCCCACCAGTAGTTCATGTTTTAAAGTGAATCAAGCAACTTTTCATTACAGCATTACTATTTACTATAAACGTTTTTCTGTTTGCTTGCTACCCTATACAAAATCCTATCACTGTACTAAATAACATTTCTGCTAAACTGCTTTTTCACTCTTACACGTATCATGCTTTTATTTTTTGTTTTTTATATTCTTTTCATTTTCAAGAGCTAAGTATTTGAAATCGGTACCTATGAGCAGAGGAATGTTTTACCTCAGTTATTGATTAAGCGTTTAATTTTTCTTTCTCCTGCTGTTATAAAAAACATTACACTATTAGGTATAATCACAGCAACCTCGTTTTCATCCCGTTTTATATTTCTCTCAATTATCTAAATACGTTTAACTTTCAGGTACTCTTTTCCACCTATCAATAAAATCCGTTATCCGATTTTTAAAAGTCTCGTGTCTGAGTTTATTTTTTGGGTAATTTTGAGCATAGTTTATCGGAGTAGCTTGATATCAACTGCACTAAAGCAGTGTTGAAGTTTTACATTAAAGAACACGAATCATGTATTCTAAAAGAGGAAAGAAACGAATATTTAATAGTTATTCATAGTTGGTCACTTAATAACAATTTTCATTTGAGCTCAGCTAAAATTAGTCTCAGATTCTTCAGTTTATGAAATGAATTTACTTGCACACTTTAACATTCACAAAAATTTACATTTCTTTGTTACGGCAATTCTACTCCAATTTTCTTCAACGCTTTCAAAATTCTAATTTTGCAGCTTTCTAACATTTCATTACTGTTTTCTTCGACATATGGCTTTACATTCATTTTAGCTTTTTTTAGCTCATCGATTTCCGTGTAAAAGTACTTACCGTTCTTTTCACCTTTACAAAAATTTTTTGCTCCTGGAGAAAAGGGACTATTCCGATCTTCCTAGAAATCGATCAAGATTTGTTCAAAATCTGTAATTAAATTATTTTTGGATATCATAATATTAAACTAAGTATTAAAACATGTTTCTAAATATTATAAATATTTAATAACTGCTAATTTGTTTTCTACTTTTCAAATAATCAGCTTCAAGGGGGAAAAAAAAACCCCGCAAAATTAACGTTTTTCAACTTGAATTTTTCTCTCATGAATTTAAAATCAATCTATTCTCTCGCAGATCTTTCTGTTTTATCCTAATTGAGACATGATTTTTGTTATCCAGCTGCTGCCATTTGGTTGGTCGCTAGGAAATAACTATAACAGCCATTGCAATCTGCAGTTCCAGTCGTAACAAAGTCGTTCTTATAATTGTTTAAGAAAGTTAATAGTATGACCTGTTGTTCGTTGCAGATATATAGCATGTATTTTTAAAATTCTGCATACAGTTTAGACAGGTTATATTTAATAGACACAGACACTGTTTAGAGTAAAAAGGCTCCAGGTCTACATTCTCCAGGCCTTTAAGCTAATACATAAACATAAATTTTTACATGCATAAAAGTACTCATATGAAAATTATGAAGAAAAACATTTTAAATTTATTCATCTCCTTGGTCTGAAGGAGAAACTACATTCCGAAGACTTTTTGAAATTTTCGTGTTTTGCAATTTTGCCCATATACAGAAATTATGTATCAGCTGAAAGATAATTAGACGCAGAATTGAGGGCTTTTATGTCTACTCTTTGTTTTAAAACACAAGAACTCAGAAACTTCGCCATTTTTGAATTATACCCTTTTCTTCTTCTTTTCCTACTTTGTACATGATCATATATAGGGAATACTTTGCAGAGTTATTTCATATTTTGTCTAATACATTAACTTGTGGATTCGAAACATTTTTAAAACTTCAGTTTTAGAACTGAAGAAATTTGAGTTGAAAAGAATAGGTGAAAGGTGTACACTTTTTTCCTATCTAATGTATTTTGAAAATAATGCAGAATAATTTTTATCAGTATTTCAGCAACAATGTTTGCTAAATATTTATCAGTCCCTTAATGTTATTTTGTTATGAATTCACAGCAGAGCACACCTAAAAAGGACATTTATATAGCGTTTTGGATTAAAAAGTAAACTGAATAATTTATGCATAATTTATTGTTT